TACTGGGATTGCAGGCATGTGCCAGCAAGTATGGCTGATCTGTTTACCTCACTGCACTCTTATCAGCAATAAGACTAAATGACTTCCAATAACTAAAGCCTTATAATAAATTCTGGATCATACAGTTTTTGTCCTGCAACTTTGCATTTTTCACCAGTTTGGGCTGTTCTAGGTCATTTCCATAAAGATATTAATTTTATAATAATCTTACCATTTCTATGAAAATCTCTTTGAATTTTCATTGAGATTTTATTGACCCTCATGATTAAATTGTGGCAAACTGACACCCTCCCACTACTGAGTCTTCTGATCTTGAGCAGGGTAATCTTTTCATTGACTTAGCTTTTGCTTGATTTCTTTCAGGATTGTTTTATGATTTTTGGTGAACAAGTCTTGCACAATTTGCTACATTTACTCCTAAGATTATATATTTTTGTTTCTACAGTAAAAAAATGTTTTATAGACTATAATCTTAAGTGGTGATTATAACATATAGAACAACAAATTATTTTGTGTATTAGTATAATATCAAGAAGCCTTACTAAACATCTAGTTTGTTATTTGTAGATTCAAAATTTCTGCGTACAGAATTACATCATTGACCTGGAAAGTTTTGCTTCATCCTGTCTTATTTAATGCCTTTCATTTTTATTGAAAGCCTTTCTTCTTGTGTGGCCTCACGGAATAATGGTAGCATCAGAGCCCTTGTTCTTTATATTGAATGTCATACCTTTAACATTTGTCAGTATGATTCTTATGCCTGGCTACAAACTACTCACAAAGTTGCTGAAACACATACCCTGATTCTGAGGTCTGTATACATTTTATCCTGAGACACAAAATTTTCCTTAACACCAGTTTCTTGAGATGAGTTAGTTGGTTTCATGGGTCATTGGACTAAATTACTATGTAAACCAATATGCTTACCATATGCACTGTAACAGGCCAGTAAGCCATAAGTCTAAAATTGTCTACCATGCTGTGGAATAATCCTCTTCTATACTATAAAGATATGTCACTCAAATTGGTTTAATAAAATTCTGAATGGCCAGTAGCCACCCAGGAAGTATAGGCAGGGCGATCAAATTAAGGATGAGGGGAAGGAGAAAGGCAGAGTCAGAGAGTTGCCAGCCAGACACAGAGGGAATACGAGATGAACATGCCATGCTAATAAAGGTACCGCTACATGGCAAAGCATAAATAGGAATATGGGTTAATTTAAATGTATGAGTTAGCTAGTAACAAGCCTAAGCTATTGGCCAAGCATTTATACTTCATATTCAGCCTCTAAGTTGGTTATTTGGAACCAGGCAGTTGAGACAGGAAAAGTCTGACTACATATGGCACCCAACATGGGGCTTGAACCCACGACCCTGAGATTAAGAGTCTCATGCTCTACTTGGGTGGGTGGATTTTGGTCATTCAGTGGGTTATAGATATTTGTCATCATTTAGGGTGATCATTACAATAACAAGTTGTTATTGGTAATGGCCAGAAAAAAAGCTGAACAAAGATTAGATTCAGGGATCTTGTTCTGAAAAGAAAAAAGAGGAATGTTACAGGCTGAACCACCGTTGTTATGGGCCAAACTGCCTGAACACCTCTTGGGAGAGGGAACGAGGAGCAGTCAACAATGTAGACACCAGGAGTCAGGTGAGAAGCAGCCAGCAGACTCCTTTATTGCTGGTATGGAGCAAGCCTAAATACCCCCTCTGGCACTCCATTGGCTGTCAGCCATTTCCTTGGCTGTGTTGGCTTCTTCTCATTGGTCCCATCAATCTGAAGTTTGTAGGTCACCAATCACCAAGTACAGCAGCAGACTTGAGGTTGGTTTAAGGGGTGTTGTTATTGCCCATAATTATTACATGCTTATGCTCACCACCAAGGCAGCTGGCAGGCTCCTTCACACACACACACACACACACACACACACACACACACACACCCCTTTTTATTTATTTTCTTTGGCAGCTCAGCAGGAGTCAAAGTTCTGTGCCTGAGCCTTATTCCCACCTCAGAAAGCATCCAATTTAATGGACTATGCCTGTTTTAGGTTGGCCTGCCGAACAGGTCCTTACCTGTCATTGACTACCAGCCCTTTAGGGATTGCTACTCTAGGAGGTGTGCCATGATGGAGAGAGCAGTGGTTATGTATCAACCTTGTGTATTTCCATAAGCCAAGCCTCACAAGGGGTTCCACGTTCAGAATATTCTAAAGCCATAAGCACCTGGAGGGTGGTCTTGTTGGTGGAGTGCTGTCATTGCATATTCTGTAATTAAACACTTGAAAATGATAATTAGTAACAAAAAGGCAATGGGGGGGAGGGGACCAGGGACCACAAATCCTCACCCCATATAGGTGGCAACATCATCATTATGGGCAACATCAAGAAGAGGAAGACATATCAGTGTCCTCCCAGATATCTTTCTTGGTCCACTCTAGACTTCCCAGGGCAGGTCACATATCCTGAGCAGTAACCTATATTGGGGCAATTGATTCCTGTGAGAAGACACAAGCATATACTCACCTTCAAGTTAGTAGTAAGATGGGATTTTGCCATGGTGGGGAGACAGAGTTCCACCATTGGACCAATAGGAGAGGAGTATCTCATGGCAAAAAGGCCCAATGCTTGTGAGCCCGGCTGAGGCCAGTATCATCAAATGTGAGAGCATTTAAATGAAACAAGGTCTCAATCAAATCCAGGTGAGGATGTAACTTTGGCCAAAAGAGTTTTAAGAGTTCTGTTGGTTCTTTCCACAATAGCCTGTCCTTGAGGGGTATAGGGAATGCCAAATGTGTGAGGGATTCTCCAGGAGGCAATAAAATCATTAAATTGTTGTGAGGCATAAGCAGGCCCCTTTTCAGTCTTTATAGCCCAGGGCATTCCCATAATCAGCATTGCTTTCTTAGCAGCTTTGATTTATGAAAGGCCCTTTTCCTGGAAAGGGCAATAGCATAGGTGAATGAAAAGCAGGTGTCCACAATAACATGGATGTATTTAAGGTTGCCAAAAGAAAGAGGATGTGTAACATCCATTTGCCAGATTGCATTGGGCAATAGTCCATGGGGATTGGCCCACCTCTATTCAAAGGGCCAAAGGGTGCAAGAGAGGTGCAAGTAACACAAGAACATGATAGGTCAGAAGAGTAGCACTGGGGTGTGGGAGCCCTGGTTGGGAGGATCCCATTTTTTCTATTTGAGCATTAATAGTATGCAGATCTTGGAGGAGCTGGTAGTGGCCTGATTTCTTTTTAATCATGAAATTTGGGGTATTGTACCTACTAGTAGAGGGCTCCAAATGTCCCAGATCTAGTTGTTCTTGGACTAAATTTTTTAATGCGGACGGTTTAGTTTCAATAATCAACCACTGCTCTACCCAAACATCATCATCATTGAGCCATGAAAAGAATATGTGGTGTTTTGTTAACCCCAGGTTCCCGATGGGCAGTGGCCTCTAGAATTGGTGGTACTGGCCAGTGGGAGGGGGTGGGGAGGATGGTATTTGACCCGACAGGCCTACTTTATCATGGGTGATGATATCATCATAAAAGCCATGGTTGTCTGTAGTAAGGATGACCCCCAGGTCTTCCAGAATGTCCCTTCTCCATAGGTTGTGAGGAACATTGGCTATGATTGGGGAAAGGGAGCCTGGGCCTCCACCTGGTCATCATTTGCACATTGCCAATTGAGAAAAAAAAAAAACGCAGAGGGTTCTAAGACAGCCTTAAGAAGGTGGTACCAATCATAGTGGGTTTGTAATTGCATAGTCCACTGTCTAAGGACTTGTTCAAAATAGGGGGAGTCTATACCAGACTCATTGACTGCCTTGTGGATGAGCAAAAAGTTCAGTCAGGGTGTTAGGCACCCATGGCTGATTAGCTATATTTGGTCCCAGATTAACAGGACAAGCCTCTGGTGGGCACCTATATAGCAGGGGAGGGGCAGAAGCAGATATGTGAGGGGTCAGGGATGGAGGGAGGGTCTGAATAGGGCAATGCAGAGGGCAGAGTTCCTGCCAAGGACATTGAGGTGGAGAGGTAGAAGCCAGAAGGGGAGCAGGGGTGGACAGAGAAATGCGAGGTGGTTTGGGTGGGGCTGCCGGGCATGAATGGCTCATTTCTTCATCATCCGAAGATGGAGGGGCCTCCTCAAGAGGCAGTGGGGAGATCAGATTGCCCGTCTTCTAAGAGAGGGAAAACAGTAGCAGACAGTAGAAGACAAGAGCAGAAAATGTGTCGGACCTAAATGTCTTGTGCTTAGTGGGGGGACTTCCGTGGTTTGTTAGGCCACAGCTGTATGCCCACACAGTGTCTCCAGATGGGGAGCAGCAGTCAGGAGCCATTCCTGGGTTCCACTTCCTGGGGGAGCTAGCCCTTACATGGAGGTCCCGAGCAAACCAAGGCTAAAAAGATGTGCCTCCCTAACTGGACAAACAGATAAACAAGAAAAGGGAAAGGGAGAGGGGAGTCCCAGTGCTCACATCTGAAGGGCCAACTCACCGAACAATCACCGAGCAGGGGGCACTGAACTGCACCACGTAAGAGAAGAGATGTCTGAAGAAGCGACAATGGATGGCTGAAGTGTACCGGGCCTAGGATTAATCAGTGCAGTGCCAACAACAAAAGGCAAATAACAGGGCCCAAAAAAGGATCACAGCAATTAGAAAATAGACCCTGATGAATTTCTAAACAGTCTTATTAAATAAGAAATACAGAGCCAAATACAGGAGTGATAGCCGCAGAGATCAAAGAAATAGCGAATAGCCATGACTAGCTTTAGCTTACCACCATGCTGTAGATTTCCCCAAAAGAACTTCTTCCTGTCTAAACTGCACTTTTATTACCTTCTTGTTTTGTCTTCTCGTTGGCTCTAAGCCCAGGCACATCACTTCCTCATCCATGTCTCTATGGTTGGTACTGGGATTAAAGGCTCATGTCATGATGCTTGGCTGTGTCCTTGACCACAAAGAGACTCAGCCTGCCATGTGATCAGATTAAGAGCATGTGCTACCACTGTCTAACTTCTGTTTATGGCTTGCTACGTGACCTCTGATCTCCAGGCAAACTTTATTTATTAACATACAAATAAAATCACATCTCAGCAAAATAAAATATCACCACACTGACCCAGGCGAGGTCAAAGCCCATGCCCACACAGGGTCCTAGAGCCCCACATTGGGTGCCAGTTGTTACAAGCTGAACTGCCATTGTTCAGCTGGACCAAACAGCTGGAACATCTCTTGTGGACGGAGGAGAGAAGGAGCAGAGTCAATGATGCAGACATCAGGAGTCAGGTGAGAAGCAACCCACAGACTCCTGTTTTGCTGGTATGAAGCAAGACTAAATACACCCTCCTGGCACCCCATTGGCTGTCAGCCATTTCCTTGGCTGTGTTGGCTTCTTCTCATTGGCCCCATCAATCTGAAGTTCATAGGTCACCAATCACCAAGAGCAGCAGCAGACTTCAGGTTGGCTTAAGGAAGGTTGTTATTGCACATGATTATGTGCGTTCTTGTGTGCACTGCCAAGGTGGCCATGGCCTCATCAACCCAGCTGACTCCTTTTCTCCACACAGAAGGGTATAGAAATAGAATAAAAGGATAGATTATTAAACATATTTCAATCCAAAAAACAACTACTAGGCTTAAATATTTTACATTGATATGGATTTTTTTATCTTGATACAAATTTGAGGTTATTTTTGTTAGAACATACTGTACATACTTTTCTATTCTTGTTCAAGGTATTGTACCTATACAACTCATTTAACAAGGTGATGCAAATTGCTAGTCCTTGAAAGTTATTATTACAAGCTACATAGGATAATAAAGAAATGCAGGTTAGTAGTTAGTCACCTATTACAATCAAACTTGTGGGCTGGAGAGATGGCTCAGAGGTTAAGAGTACTGACTGCTCTTCCAGAGGTCCTGAGTTCAATTCCCAGCAACCACATGATGGCTCACAACCATCTATAATGAGATCTGGTGCCCTCTTCTGGCCTGAAGACTTACAGGCAGGCAGAACACTGTATACATTAATAAATAAATAAATCTTTTAAAAAAAAACAATCAAACTTGTAGTCATATTAGGTATGTTTTCAAGGTCAAACAGAGATGTATTTTAGATAGACAGGTTATCTTCAAACACCTCAGAGATCTACAGAATATGGCATTTAAGATGTTTTAATAACATAAGGTTCTTTTTTTTATGACAATGAGACATGACTTCTCCTGGCAGTACCAATCTACTTCAGAGAAGATGTTGGGCATCAAAAAAACTCCATATGAAGCTCACTTTCTTTATGCCAAAAGCTAGCCATGTGGGTTTAAAAAAAAAAAAAACTGCCCTTGCTTCAACTGCTGACAGTTATTATCCAAACTGGACCAGCAAGACACAAGAAAGGTGACTGCCAAATTTTGCCAAGAAAGGTAGGACAGTCCTTCAAAATTCCGTGCTTCACAGGAAAGTCTGTCAGATATGCTAAGCCTGTAGGCCAAGGTTGGATACCCCAGCATTGCAGAGGAACTTTGGGTGACTGTACAGGCAGTTTGAGGTCCCTGTCATTAGATAACATTTCCCCTTCTGGAGTCTTTGATTGAGCAGAAGACCAGATAGCTATAGTTACAGTTTTCTTTAGTTATGATAAAAAATAAATTAGATACAAAACTTTGGACTCACAAAGATAAGATAGATAATGGAGTATTTTCTCTAATTTTGCCAAATACAAATAGACTAGATATTGTAACTGTAATTCTTATTTGATAACTGTTTTTGTTGTGTATAATCTTACTATGTTAAAGTTAAAACCTTCCTTTTTAATTAGACAAAAAGGGGGGAATGCTGTGGAATAATGCTCTTGTACACTGTAAAGATTTGTCACTCAAATTGGTGTAATAAAATTCTGATTTACAGTAGCCAAGCAGGAAGTATAGGTGGGGCAACCAAACTAAGCATGAGGGGAAGGAGAAAGGCAGAGTCAGAGAGTTGCCAGTCAGATGCAGAGGGAGCAGGTGATGAACATGCCATGCTAATAAAGGTGGCAAAGCATAAATAGAAATTGGGTTAGTTTAAATGTACGTGTTAGCTGGTAACAAGCTCGAGCTATTGGCCAAGCATTTATACTTCATATTTGGCCCCTGATTCGGTTATTTGGGATCAGGCATCTGGGACAGGAAACATCTGACTACACCATCATGCCATCCCTGATAGAAATGGAGTCTTTGCTGAAGTAATAGTCAAGGCTCTTTCAGAGTACTAGCATTTGTAATGAGAAATTACAGAAAGTCAACGTGAAGAGCTAGAGAGCACAGTACATGTTTGCAGGCTTCTTTGCTGCCTCAGATCCTACATGCCACTCTATTTCTCTTTTGTTTTACATTCCTCTCACCATGTTGAGACTACAAATGGCATTACCTGTTGCCAGAAAATGAATAAGACCCAATTAGTAACACACTGTTTGTTAGTTCCTAAGAATTATCTTAACAGAGACCCATGTTTAGGGTGCTCAAGACTGGCCATGAATATATGCTACAAAAGGCTGCTATGTGCAAACTGAGCTGAGATTTCCTTCTCAGATATTACATGGGGTTCATCTTAGAAAATAAATTCCCTTCTTAGAAAGAGAAACCTTTAAACAAGTAAACAAAGAAGAAAAATTTAAAGCAGTAGTTCTCAACCTTCCTAATGCTGTGACCCTTTAATATAGTTCCTCATGTTGTGGTGACCCCCCAACCATAAAATTGTTTTTGTTGCTAATTTATATCTGTAATTTTGCTACTGTTACGAATTGTGATGTAAATATCTGATAGGCAACTCCTGTGAAAGGGCCATTCAGCCACCAAAGGGGTCATGACCCACAGGTTGAGAACCACTGATTTAGAGCATGTTTTGAGATGCAAACCCTGTATATACAAGGGGAACTCAGAATTGCTTTCTGTGCTCCTAAATTCTCCCTAATACATGCTTTTACAAAAGTCACAAAAAAAATTGGTTTTTCATGTTATGTCTCAGAGACTAGCTGAAGTGTTAGACAATGCCATCTGGGCTACTGAACTACTTGCCTAGGGGTTCATGATGTTGGGCAGGGAGTGCTTCTGAACAGAGCCAAGAGATGTAATATTGGCCTTTCAAATGGTAACAGAGGCTGTTTTAAGGAAAGACTGTGTGCTTACATGCCTGTAAACATCTCTGGAATCTTTATTATTACAAATTAACGAAACCACGCTGGCTAATTTTATGTCAACTTGACACAGGCTAGAGTTATCTGGAAGGAGAGAACTTCAATCAGGAAAAATGTCTCCATAATATCCAGCTATAGGACATTTTCCTAATCAGTGATTTATGGGTGGTGCCATCCCTGGGCTGGTAGTGCTGGCTTCTATAAGAAAGCAACCTGAGCAAGGCATTAAGTGGCATTCCTCCATGGCCCACCTCCAGGTTGCTGCCCTGTTTAAGGTCCTGTTCTGACTTCCTTTATTGATGAACAGTGATACGGAAGTGTAAGCCAAATAAACACTTTCCTCCCCAATTTGCTTTGGTCATGGTGTTTCATCACAGCAATAATCACCCTACCTAAGACAAAAAAAAAAAAAAAAAAAAATCTGTGTTGGTGTGTTGGTTGATTTAATTTTGACCCTCTGGAG